CTAGAAGTTTGATGTCCCTGGTCCAAATGAATGCTATTGTTAGTGGCATGAAAACTAAACATAAATGACAATGAACCACAAACATAAGAATTTGACTTCATACATTGTTTTTTCATCCCATTTTAAAAACATTCAGAAGTTGTTTTCATAGGCAACAGGTTAAAAAAAGGAACTGAGGCCCCATCTTATCTGGAACCAATTTAGCAATATGTGTGAATGGAGCTCTATAAGCAGAAATCTTTGTTGCAAAGCCAATGGTGATGTAGTTGCTCTGCCAAAGTAAGTCCTAAAGGAATGAAGATGAATTATTTCTCATGTATGGTCTCTCTCTCTCTCTCTCCTGTTTGTACTTGAATAGGAAACCACCCAAAGTACCATGACTATAGTTTGACTATAAAAGTGATGACAACATCCCCAAAGATAGCAGTAGGAGATATAAAACAAATAATGTGGGTGAAATCATCAGGAATTAAGTTATGCTTGAAATAATGGGTTTTTTAAACCTGAGGATAGAAGAGAGGTTTCAAAATTGAAGGACTTTTGAGTATCTACAAAGCTTTCCTTCTCTTCCATTCAAGATTAGCATTAAAAACCATTGTCTCATGAAAATATAAACTAAGCTTCTAAGTTAGCTGACCTCTGTCCCAGATAATTCAAAGTATTCAAAGTATTCATCACTATAGTCCAAGAGAATATTAAATGTTCATTTGTTTTAGGAACAAAGTCAATCAGATAATACAGCCTGATGCTTATTCTATTCTGCACATGAGATAAGGAGATACATTTATTTGTCCCATTTTGGCACTCCAGATTTTTAATTTAAATTTAATTTAATTTAAAAAGCTAAGCATAGATGAATTATTTATTGAACACAGATTAATTTAAAAGATCCTATTACTGGAAGCAAAGCAAAGATCTAAAAGATTGATTCTAGGAGGAAGCAATGTATGAAAGCATAAATTTTGAGAAACCTATAAAAAGGGTGAAAAAAATTGTGAAAAGGAAATTGGTACATAAATACTTGTATGTGGGTTACATAAGCAAAGTTCCAACCAAGGCATTTGTCTTTTTGTCTTCATATTAAGCCTGCAATCTTGAATTTGGTGCCCAAATCCTATATGTTGTAAAATGAACTAACATTTAACTTTATACTCAAGAATGACTCTGGATCCCATATGGATTCTAGAACTTTGCTTTCAAAAATAACCAAGGATGAATAATTACAGATAAAGGCTTTCTCTGGAAGTATGTCCATCTTCCTAAAGGAGAAAGTCATGCAGGATTGTATGGGGCATGTAAGATTGGGGGGCGGCACTAGAATAAGTGTAGCTAGCATTTTATGAAAGTGGCACTTTGCAATTGGTGATGGCTGATTTGTGAAAGCATCCACAATACGTTACCAGAATCCCAAACTCAAATCTCTAAAATGTTGAAGCTCTTCAATGTTAGTTATACAATTTAAAAAGCATAAGATACTGGTTATAATAGCAGTTGTTTACAAATAGATGGGAAATAATATCACTGAAGATTTGGAAGATCAACTGATGAATGGAATGAAATATCAAGGAAAACTCTCTCCAGATGTAATTCAGTCCAGGGCCACTGACAGACTAAACTATCTGATTTGTTTAAACTATTTTTACTTCTACAACTTCAAACACTTATTCTTTGAATATAACAGATTTTTAGCATTTATATTTGATCCAGTCACTTGACTGTGTTGTTGATATAGCACTCCATGCTAGAATCATCTATAATTTAATTATTTCAGTACCAGGTCATGGTGTTTCAACTAGAAGATAACACGTAGTGATATAAGCTGATCTCAGACACTAAAAAAAAAAATTAGGCCTGGCTAACATTTGGATGAGAAACCACCAGAAAAGTCCAGAGCTGTGAGCTGGAGCAGAAAGTCAAAAGCGT